CATTTTTCTGGTAAAATTAAAGTAACAAAGTTATAGCCCTTTAGAGGTTTGATTACCGCCCTGTCTCAATAATAATATTATGTGCTCGTGTTTGGCAACAACGGATATAATCCGCCTTATCGGTTCATCGCATCGGACACAAAAAAGCGAAAGAATTTGAAACGCTTATCACGATGTTTTTACTACAGTTGTATTCAGTCAATGTGTCAGTCGGTAACGCGTGAGTGAATAGTGGTGTTTGTTGCGTGGCTGAAACGAAATAAAAAATGGCACATGTTTACGAAAATGCTGAACTTGTGGACATAATTCTTATTTACGGGGGGGGAGTCTTTACAAAATGCTGCCGCGGCATCACGGATTTATGCGGATCGGTTTCCCAATCGAGTGCAACCAACCCCTCGTGCCTTTGTTAATGTAGTACAAAGGGCTCGTGAATCAGGTGACTTAAGACCTCACAGGGGAAGGCATGCCGGTGCTCCAAGACCGCACGATCAAATACAGATCCGCACTGAAATACTTGTTGGGAGGATACTTTATAAAACAAGGTAACATTTTTTTTTATTTTTTTTTTATTCTTACACACATATTTTGGTTTATCTTCCTTCTACAATCATTATCTGAAAATTAATGACTCAACTTCAAAGTCACCCTGTATATCAGTATATTAAATATTTGGTGCGGTCTGTGACTGTGTAAATGCGTTTTGAGCAATTACGTGTAATGCTTAGTGACAGTATGAGTAGTATTTAATTTTAATTTAAAAGACTGTAAAAATATATTCTTCAATATGTTCATCCCTTAATTCTTACCATTATGGCGATAAAACGTTATTTTGTCAATAGATGATTGAGGTTATTTTTTTTCAGTTATTTGAAACTGTAGGTAAGGGCACGATGTGTGAATGTTATTATTTTGTAAAAAATATAATCTCCAGAAATAAAAACATGAGTTCGACATTTCGTGAAGGGTATGTTAAGATTTTTATCTCTAGCTGGCGGTTTTTCCGTCCCATTCTTCAGTACATCGGCTTCCTTACGCCCGAGAGCGGTAAAGTAACGTTAGCGCCCGCTATGTTTTAATCGACCTAAGCACATCGATCACGAGAACTGTACGGATTTGTTTGTTGTTACGCGAACGCCGTAACTACCGACACCGGCGATATGTAGTAGTACGGTCAATTTATCTTTATACAGGATGATTCACAAGTCGTGACCAAAAATGCAACATCATTCACAGGACCGCATTTTAAGGGGGTCTTCTATATAACATTTTTTCGTCGAGGCCTTCATTAAAAAGATACGGGATGTTGAAGTTTAGCAATAAAAACTATTTTTTTAATATCTTCAAAACCGTCAACTGGAATGAACTAAGACTTTGTGTGTGGAGTTGCCTAGGTATTGTCTACATTCCTCTAAAATCCAAAAAATTGCTCGTTTTGAAAAAAAACAGTGGCGTACTATTTTTATATGAAAAAATAATGCCGCTAATCCCCTGTATCTCCGCCACTGGTACACGTTAGTTTTGATTAAAGACTTTTGAATGTGGACAATACTCAGGTAAATGCTCATACCAAATTTTAGTTCATTCCAGATGGCGGTTTTGAAGATATTAAAAAAATAGTTTTTTATTTTTAAACCCTCGTGGAAAAAATTAGACCCCCTTAAAATGAGGTCGTGTGTATGATATTTCATTTTTGGTTACGACATGTGAATCACCCTGTATCTACTTAAAGACTCCTCTAAATATTTGGATTACTATATGGACGGTTTTAGAAAAAATGCTTGTGTGCGTGTCTCTTAATTCGAGAACTTGGCTGCTTAAAACAAGTGACTTACAAGACAGTGACTATATTTTTTATCATCTACAAGTACTATACCAGGTAAGAATAATCGAAGGAATGCTTTTGGATCTCAGCTAAACATGCCCCATATTATGTTATGATGATTATGAACATGCAAAAGACCCGAATATAGTGAAAAGTTGATTGCGCTATCCAAAGAAATCTAGATGCACATCATAGAGCAAAATAGCAAAATCTATTAAGCCGTTTAAGCTCTAGCCCATCAAATAGGAATTTAGAGGTTGAATTTTTTATCAATCCGTCATTATTAATATTCTCAGTGTCATTTGCAGTGTTCAGAAATCTAGAGACATCTCATACGTCAAATTTTATCCAGCACATGAAGGTGTTGATTTTTTATTGTAATCCGCCATTTTATTTTTATTAATTTTTTCTGAACCCGTCAAGTAAAAATACGAGTAGTAGCATGTGTATGCAATGCTCGGCTTGTTGTACCTAGGAAAGGTACTTAACATACGTATTCCTTATAATGTTGGATGGATAAAAATATTGGACATTTTAGTTATAGTTCACGACAAACTTATAGAGTCTGTTTGCATTTTGTCTGATTCTTCCTGGCATCGATACGCGAAGGATCATTATAAGAAACAGTTCTAAATAATGATGAAAGCATTGGGCGCCAAGGATTGAGTTCTCCGCAATATAGATCCTCTGAAGTCAGTCAAACAGGCACATACAATTAATCCATAGACATTCTTTCTCTGTCCCACTGGTAGCTACTGACCATGTGGCAACGTTGCCCCTTTCCACGCGGCATCTCTGCAACGAGTTATATTTCGGTTCGTCAAGCTCCGTTTGCGTTTTTAAAAAATCCGCATGTTCAATGTTTTTGTGCTAAAACCACCGACAGAATGTTAGTCTGCGAGGATAGTCTTCTGGTAACAAGGCCTGCACTCGTTGTACATGGTAGGGATAAAGCAAATTTTCCCGTAGGATTCTATGGACTATGGTATGCGATAGCCCTATGTGACGGCCTAATTCCCGAGTGCTGATATCCGCATTGATTCCCACGATATCTAAAATTTGTTCCTCCTGCTCTACAGTAACGAAGTCTTTGGTACACTTGCACAAATGTCCTTCTGTCTGGGTGTGCCCGTTGACGAGATCTGTCGCGATAGATTTGAGCTGCAAGATTTGAATTCTGACGAGCTTCACCGTAAGCTAACAACATGTCGGCGAACTCTTGAGTCGAGAACATTGTAAATAAACACGACGACGTACGTGAACAATAACTAACCACTGTTACCGTTTGCGATCGATTGCCGGTTCGATAAGGGTGATGAATGACCGACGCGCTGTTGTCATGTGTGTTTTAAATATTTAGTTTAATGAAACTTACTTACTGACTACAGATTTTGGCTCAACTTAGAAAAACTTAATGCCATTTATTTGTTAATTACCCAATTTAAAAACGGTCTGGATTAGATTATAATAATTAGTAAGATTGTGGTGATTGTGGTCGATATGAAGCATTTAAAGTTGTAAACTATAAAGCCATTTAGACAAAAATCTATTGACTTTTGGACCATGGGTCAAATGAACTTTTTGACCTCTCGTATTACCCATTTTAATAATGACTACCATAACGTTTACACCCTGTATAATATCTAAAATATTTTGCTTGACAGTAACAAGTTGTCATGAATGACACAAGATAGGTAATGGATAAAACATGATGATTCAGACATATGGGGTTGTCCAAAACGTATGCAGGAAAGTAAACGCATATTAAAACAAGAGAGATTGATATTCAAATCAAGTTGGGTACTTTATTTTGAAGGTTCATTTATACCATTTATGTATGAAAAATAATATCGCTCAAATGTTCATCACGACTGGATTTACAGACGTCCACGCGATGGTCGAAATTTTCAATGACATTTTGCAACATGGTCGGTTCTATGACATTTATCTCGGCAATGATGTTGTTTTTGAGGTCTTGGAGGGTGGCTGGTTTGTTGACGTAGACTTTGCTTTTCAAATATCCCCATAAAAAGAAGTCCAAGGGAGTCAAATCGCACGATCTTGGTGGCCATGGCACATTTCCTCTGCGCGAAATCACGCGATCACCGAAGAAGGACTGCAATCGATGGATATTGACGTTGGTTGTGTGGCATGTTGCACCGTCTTGTTGGAAATGAACATCGTCCATATCCATTCCTTCAAGTTGCGGCAAAAAATAGTCCTCTATCATCACGTGATATTGCTCAGAATTGACGGTAACGGCGTCCCCGGCCGCATTTTCGAAAAAGTAAGGTCCGATGATGCCTTTTGACCACAATGCACACCACACAGTCACTTTTTGAGGATGCATCGGCTGCTCTTGATACTCACGGGGATTTTCGTTCGCCCAGATGCGGCAGTTTTGCTTGTTTACCGTCCCATTCAAAGTGAAATGCGCTTCGTCGCTGAACATGATTTTTGATGAAAAATTGGCATCAATTTGGCGGTGTTCAAGGAGCCAATCTGAGAACGTTCGGCGCGAAAAATGGTCGGCCCGACGCAGCTCTTGCGTCAATTGAATCTTGTAGGCGTGTACATTCAAATACTTGTGGAGAATGCGGAGCAAACTGGTTCTCGAAATGCCCAATTCTTGGGATCTGCGCGTTGTTGATTGTTTCGGATCGTCTCTCACACTCTCCTTCACAACAGCAATATTTTCCTGTTGCCTCGAATTTACGCACCAGACTACCGATGGTTGTTTCGTTTGGGCGGTTGTTGCGACCGAAATGTTCACGAAGCGCGCGAAACGTGTTTTTTATTTTTGCACCATCTTTGTAGTGCTCTTGAATAACCTTAATGCGGTCTTCAATCGAATACGACTCCATAGCGATCAATGGTAAACATTCAACTAACAAAATGACATGTCGGTGACAGAAAACAAAGATGGCGTCTATGTCAAATTGACGTTTACTTTCCTGCGTCCCTATTGGACAACCCTTTAAAAGCAGCATTGCCATATCAACGGTTTGTGGATTGTTAACCAAAACATTAATAACGAATTCACAGACATCCGATAGTTAAGTTCCAAATCATAGTTACCTAACAATTGCCTATAAGTTTGTCGTCAACTATACGTGAGATCTGATAGCATACCTATGAACCTGAAAACCACAAATAACCATCAATGACTTTTTAGGAAATCGAAAAGATACCGCAAGACCAAATCGAAGACAAAACAAAAAATGACAGTCGAGCCAGTTTTGCTGACTCAACCGCTGAAGTGCAAGTTTTGCTCGGAGACTTTTAATACCAACGTGGATTTTGCTCTGCATTCAGTCGAACATAGCGTTGAGAGGGTGTACTCGTGTCATCTTTGCGAATACTCTCTTAAGTCAAAGTACAGGTTGGTAATAACATTACTTCTTCCGTAATCCAAATTGTTCCATTATTTTAAATTGACTAGCCTTTTCATGCCAAAAATTCACGACGTATACGGGGGGAATGCCAAAACATGATAGTTATCAGAAAAATATAAAAAATCTAAGTCGTGTACTTTTCAAATCACAGGCTTTAAAAAAATTGGAAACGAAAAAATCTACATCCTGTGTTGATCTTTTAGCTCCCATTATAACAAATATCATTTTTTTCTTAGACGGAGTGACGGACAGATACTTTTATTAGTTCGTAAATGTATTTATCAAATTTACAAATAATCTTCCGTTATTAACACATTCAGCTACTTCCGTTACTCTGTCCGCTACATTTTCGATTGACTTAGAGTACACTTTTTCTTTTACCGCTCCTCAGTAAAAAAATCGAGTGGACTTAGGTCAGGTGAACGGGCTGGCTACGAAATTGTACCAGACCGCCCCATCCAACTGCTCGGATATTCCGCATCAAGATATTCTCTAACTGTGTAACTGCTTAGTGGCCTATCCCCCGTTTAGAGCTTGACGTTGACTCCTGGGCCACCCTGTATTTAATCCTCCTTTTCGGCGCTTTCAAACAAACCTTTGTATGAATTGCAGATTCGAAAAACACGTACGAGCTCACGAAGGTACAAACTTGTACAAATGCGAAATTTGCAGTAAACCTTTCAAAATCGGCACGCACGCTATAGAGCACGTCTACTTTCACAGGGGCGAAAAACCTTTTCAGTGCGAGATATGCGGCAAACATTTCATGTATTCCAGGCTGCTCAGCTCACACAGAAGGTTGACACACTACGAGCTGCTTACAGGTCAGTATCCAAGAATTTAAGTTTAAATTTGAAAACGTACCACTACAGTATATTCAGATAAGAGCTAGACCGGACATAAACAAGGCCACGTGATCATCGAACGCTGTAACATTCGGCAGGGACGTATTAAGAGTCACGCAGTACATATTTTAGATAGTAGATGCTGCTTTGCGTAACTTTGTAGTAAATTAGCACAATTCGATGTGTATACGATTGGTGATGGATATAGGATCATGTGGGGGTGGGGTAAGAAATATATAATGATGTAAATATACATAAGGGTTTCAAAATGTTCGCTTCGATTTCCAGCTTCGGATGCCGTCTTATGTTTGGTGAAATACAGTCGAATATAATCTGAAAATGGCGTTTAAACTAGCCTAAATTAAAAATAATCGTATATCTCTTAAAATTGCTTTTAGAATATTGATTAGTATATTTTTTGATTTCTAGGTAAATATGTAACCAAATTAAAACGTTCAAAACGTAAAAAAATGTGCATGGTTGAACATTGTCAGAAAGTAGATTCTTGAATAGGTTTTGCCAAAATGGGTTCAAAAATGTCAATAATTAATTAAAAAATACAGTTGCTTTATAATTACTTATAACTTACCGAATTTGATGAACGACATCTTTTATTGGAAAGATGAGCTTGATGAGCTTTCATCATCGCTACTGCCTGAAGCACCAACGTCAATAATGAATGGCTCGACTTGTTCCTCTAAAATATTGTCCAGTTCCCACATTCTCTTTTCAACTTTGTCTTTCACGTGCTTAATACAGTTTTCCCATTTTTGCGCTGTTATTAATTCTAGTGCTTCTTTGAAAAGTCCTTTGAGGTCACAAAATTTAAAAGTTGTATTGTGCTTAGCTATATAATTTTTAACCTCTGCCCATATGAGCTCAATGGGATTGAGCTCGCAATGGTATGGAGGTAAACGGAGCACAGTTTTATTTTGACTTGCTGCCATTTCGTCAATGGCGTATTTTTAATATTCCGCCTTGTGATCCTTGACAATTCTTAATAATTGTACTTTCAGCATTGCTTCTTCAAAGTTGATATTTTTCTAGCGGAGCCAATTTTGAACATCAACTTTCCTTGAAGCCGTTGTTGGGACCTTCTCCATTCTTCGAGAATAATAAGGCGCATTATCCAACACAATTATAAAGCTTAAAGTATGAATTAAAATGATTAGAAATATTAGGAACGGTACACAATATAAAACTTAGTAACTTTTTTTAAGTTTATAATATTCGACATATTTTAAGATTATATTAAAAAATTATTGAAATATCGAAAACACATAAAAACATGGCTTAAAAAAGTTCTAACAAATGAAAATGACAATAAAACATCCACGCATTTTATCGAAAGTTATAAAAGTTTTGTTACTTGTAATATGTTTTATCTGCCCCCTGGAATTAATGTTCAGAACCTTGTTCCCAAGGTGTGAAAAACATCCGATTGTTGTCTATTACTCGTATTTACCTGCTGGATTTTTTAATCCGGTGGACAGTCCATCTAGAAAGACCCTCCTGGATGAAGTTACAGAATCATCAACCCATACTTTACTTGTAGTGTGTTCTGCGTTTACCCATGTTTCATCAAGGTAATAAATCTTCCTGTTTTGATTTCTATATTTCCCAATTTTTGTTAAATAATCCCTCCTCCATAGCACAATTTCTTCTCTATCCAGTAGTAAACTATTACGACCCCGTTTTTTCCATTTGAAATTTAAATGCTTCAGTAACGCATGGAAAGTTGATCGTTTGAAATTTGGCAACGTTGTATCTCCATTTACCTCCTGCAGTACTTTATCTATAGTCGGTATTTCATTCCTAAAGAAGAATTGGTGCACTTTCCTCCTAATCGCATGCTTATCAGCTTCATCCAATGATTTAACAATACTTTTGCGATGTTTACTGGTCATTGGCTCAGAAAAGGTGTGATTTTTTTTGTATTGTCTTAACAGATTAAACACTGATGCGCGACACACCCCAACTTTGTGAGAAACCTTCACAACAATTTCTTTGGTGGTTGATGCCTCGTTCTCCTCGCGCTCGATCTTATAGTATATATTCAAAATGACCTCTTTCATTTCTGCACTCAGGTGTCTTTTTTTAGAGCGTTTCCTAGGTGGACTACAGGAGTTTACAACTTCATCGGCAGTATCTGTACTACTGGGCATTTTGCGCAAGCAGTTGATAACACTAACAATCAAGAACAAGGTATAACAATAACAACGACAAACTCAACAACTTAATAAGATAACAAACGAAAACGTCCACAGAAATATCAAATTGCAATGATGCACACGACATACGTAACACGTCTGAACCTGAATGTGACTCTGCCTTGATACGACTGCTCTGCCGCTCGGCATAGGCATTTAATTGCGAATTGACCAATGAGGGCTCCTGTTTTACGTCGAGACGGCGGCGTTAGCGTGAAAATCACCCGAACCTTTTGTTTACATCCGGTCTATCTCTTATCTGAATATACTGTAGATTATCACACAAATACACTGAACAAAGGGCTTGTTAATTCCAGACAGTTCATTGAGAATTTTTTTTAAATATAGTACAGTGAAACTAAGTAATAAACCAGGTTGTAACAAATTTTGTTGTAAAAGTCGAAGTGGGATATTCATGTCTCCTCTGAAAACGCGGAAGAATTTAGAAAATTTGCAATCATTCAAACTTTTTATTGTAGGTAAACCTCTGGTTAAGTTTGACTGCAAAGTCTGCGGGAAGCACTATGAGTCATACCCTGGTCTTGCACGTCACATGTACAGCAAACACAACGATAAGGGAATCGATAAATCGGTCATGTGCGACGTCTGCGGAAAGAAAATCAAGAACAAGGACAAACTTAAGTTTCATTTAAGGACTCATACCGGAGATAGGCCTTTTCCTTGTACAGTAAGTTGCAGCTTCATTTGTTATATAGATTATCGTATAAGAATATAGAACGTATTCTACCTGTCTTTATTCCATATGCTTTATTCCAGCGCCCAAAAAGAAATCTAAAAGATACTAGCGCCATCTAAGAGACAGTAGGTGAACAAAACATGTATTATAATAATCCGGCTTTATTTAAACAAAGTATAAAAAGGCATTTTTCAACTTAACGCGCCATAAATATTTATGTAAATAAAAACAAAAAAGAAGAAATCTGTAACGAGTCCCTGTTCATAACCATTATCTACTTACTGGGTGATATAATCAGAGATAAAATTTTCAATCGTTTTTTGGAATTGTATAGCTTAATAGCAGTAAATGTGTACGATCTTTTAAAAAGAGTTGTTGAATGTTTGGGGATAACCAAGATATGCTTATTCTTTGTACTCATCTGAGTATCTGACAAATTTGGTTGACAGGTAACAAAGTAACACAATCGAGTGTCGCCGGCTTAATAATGAATAACGTACTCGTGAAAGTCATAAATGTAAATAGAAAATGATAACGGTCCCAGAACGGAACCCTGCGGTCCCCTAGTTTTACTGGCGTTCTTTGATTTGAAAGTGACACTGTTCTTAACGTATGTTCTAAACGTTTTGGCAGACTTCGAAGTTGAGTCATTTATTTTAACAGTGAGTAGATCTGATCAAAAGAAATGTTTTTTTCCTTTACCATTTTTCTGGTAAAATTAAAGTAACAAAGTTATAGCCCTTTGGAAGTTTGAGTACCGCCCTGTCTCAATAATAATATTATGTGCTCGCATTTGGCAACAACGGATATAATCCGCCTTATCGGTTCATCGCATCGGAAACAAAAAAGCGAAAGAATTTGGAACGATTACAATTATTTTATTCAGTTGTATACAGTCAGTGTCAGTTGGTAACGCGTGAGTGAATAGTGGTGTCTGTTGCGTGGCTCAAACGAAATCAAAAATGGCACATGTTTACGAAAATGCTGAACTTGTGGACATGATTCTTATTTACGCGGCATCACGGATTTATTGCGGATCGGTTTCCCAATCGAGTGCAACCAAACCCTCGTGCCTTTGTTAATGTAGTACAAAGGGCTCGTGAATCAGGTGACTTAAGACCTCACAGGGGACGGCATGCCGGTGCTCCAAGACGCACGATCAAATACAGGTCCGCACTGAAATATTTGTCGGGAGGATACTTTATAAAACAAGGTATCATTTTTTTTTTATTTTTTTTTTATTTTTACACACATATTTTGGTTTATCTTCCTTCTACAATCATTATCTGAAAATTAATGACTCACCTTCAAAGTCGGATTTCTTTTAATGAAGAACAGAAAAATTAAAACTCAATACTAAACTATCCTATCGAATTATGTGAAGTGGTGGTGGTGATGCATTTTGCGTTGTCGATGCCAGTTTTGGGTATCTCTTGAGTAATGGCAAGATGCTGAGTTTGGCCAAAACGTGATAAGGTCATTACCATGATGTTCGTCGACAAACTGAAGCAATTTGGAAAGGCAGTTATCAATATAGCTCTGACTATTCAAAACTTCACCCCTCATTCTTCCCACAAAAGGTTGGGATACCCCTGTTAGAAATTACGCACCAGACAAGGATTTTATCTGCAAATTTCGCTTCTACCTTTTCCGTATAAAATCCGTCGTTTCCCTTCATTTCAGAATTACTGAAATACTTTTCGTGATCATAAATAATGATTTTTCCATTGGCAACGTGTGGCATACTCGACAGATTGTAGATACTTATTTTTATTTCTAATTTATACGACGTCTTAAAGCGAATTATTCAAAATAAATAAATGTCAACTGACAGTAAAGTAAGTAAACAAACTTTTGTTTCCAAAGGCAACTTGATATTATTTTGTGTTTGCTAAAATTAAAGTCAATGGATTTTGTGCCAAAACTTTTAGGACAAACGTTACTTTCTCCTGAAAAAGTGATTCCTCAATTTTACTCACTTTTCTCACAAGTTTTCTGGTCTTTTATCTCTGTGTATAATTTATTGTATTCAATCAACCCTTGATGGAATACAGATTTGTAGCATACTGTTTGGTCATTAAATGGAAGTCATCTTTATTTCTGGTATTATGTAAATGATGGTCGGCATTTGATGATGTTAAATTAGTTAGACTTGGTGGAAATATATTATTTTTTACTTTATAAATGAATATCATTTACAAGATATTTGATATTTTTTTTTAAATTGAGCCATTTTAATTTGCTAAGCATTTGCCTAATTGGAGTATATTTATCTTTATTCAGTATTATTCTCATGCACTTGTTTTGTAAAATTTGCAGTCTTTCAAAAATGGAGTTATTTGCTAAATATAGAATAGTCGAACAGTAAAAAAAATTTGGAAGAATGATGGTATTATAGATAGTTTTTCTGCTATATGAACTCAGACATCCAAAAGCTCTTGATAAATATCCCACTTCACTACTAATCTTATTTATAACTTTTTCATAATGAATATTAAAAATTAATCGAGAGTCAACAAAAACCCCCAGGTATTTAAAATTTTCTATGAATTCAATATCTTAACCATCAATACTCAGTTGAACATTCGTGCATTGTTTTTTTTTTTCGATTAACATAGCTTTCGTTTTACTTGTATTTAATTTGAGTCTGTTAGAAGACAAGTTTCAAGTCTTCATTTATATAAGAGATACCAGTTTTTAGTACTTATATAAATCATAGTGCGAAAATCTGAATTTTGCATTTTTTGACTATGGCAGGTAAATCATTTATGTATAAAATAAAAAGAAGTGGTCCCAGGATACTGCGCAGTTGAACACCCAACATTTTTTTTTAATTTTTGATGAAATAGTGTCATTAACTTTTGTAACTTCGTTTTAGACAAATCATTTCTAAACCAATCTAAAACACTTCCTGATATACCATATGCCTTCAATTTACCTAACAAAATATCTCTATCAATCGTTTCAAATGCCCTCTTCAAATCCAAAAATACTGCTATGGCAATTTGTTCTGAGTCTATGGCTCTTCTCCAATTCTCAGTTCCAACTGGAAAGCCGTTTCTGTGGAATACACTAAAATTTTGTTTTCTTCTATAAACTGCATTAATTGGTCATGCACTATGGACTCTAATAATTTTTCAATGACTGGTAACACATTTACTGGTCTCATATCGCTGCATCTTTTAGAATTTTTTATTTTGGGAACTGGTGTTATTGTAGAGCATTTCAAATTTTCTGCTTCTCAGTGAACAATTGATCCAATTTAATTTAACAGGATATCCAAAAATTTCGAAACAGTTTTTCAACACGTTTTTAGTAGTGATTTCGGCACAGTTGTTGTTTGATTTTAAACTGTTTACTTTTTTCTCAGATAATTCAATGATACGCTATGAAATTTCGAAAGTGTATGCAACACTTTCCCCTGGTAACTGATTTTCATATAGTCAGGTGCAGCATTGACAGTACCCACAATATCAACAATACTTTCCTTTTTTCTTCTCTAATTACATACAAACATTTATTCCTAAGAGTTTTATATACCTCCCAATCATCATTTGATTTTGTGAATTTACATTTGTCGTATTGTTTGTCTCTCAAATTTTGAGCTGCCTTAATATTTTTGTTATTACCAGGGTGTATTTTTTGTCGAGCTTTTTTATCAGTTGCAAGGTCTAAACAAGTTTTTATATTTCCTATTATGTTGTTATATATTTTTCCATATTCTCACCAAAATTCCAATAGCAGCCAGCAAGTTCTCGTTCAAGTTTTTGTAGTTCACGATTTTCTTAATTTTTGTTTCATATACAGACGATCTTTTTGAAATCGTAATGTTTACAGCTCTGCGACCGAAAATTCTCCAAAAAGGACCTGCTCAGAGCGCACATGCCAGTCCATACAGGAGCCAAGCCGTTTGCATGTAAAGTTTGCGGCAAAGCGTTTGCACACCGCGCCCCCTTGTGGTACCACAGGAAAACACACACTGGGGAAAAGCCGAACGTATGTCCTTTGTGCGGGAAGGGATTCATTTCCAAACCGGCTATGGACAATCACGTTAAGACGTGCTACAAAGTTTGACCAACGGTTCGTTATCTAGAAATGAAAGGAGTCTTTGTGATATTTGTAATTTTTGAAATTATTTATATTTTTATAGTGGAGATGATTTTTGAATTTGACATTAGTTAATGACGTACGTTTATTGTATGAATATTTTTAGCTCATTTGCCTAAGGAAGCATGTTTTTTCTTTCAAATGAAGCAATTAACCCTTGTCAGGTTCTTTCAATTGTATTTATTCGTTTTCCATGATTATAGAAAATGCGTCTAACAGAGTTCAGTGCTCTAGCATTCTTGTTTGTATTCGTAATTTTTTTGTTATCCCAACCATCGACCACCACTGAGAGCAGATGCCTTCTAAAAAACATTTTGAAACCGAAAATATTCATGTTTGGTTCCCAGTAAGTATCGTCACATGTTTATTGAGAAAGAAGTAACCCACGCACTGTTTCAGAAGAACGCGTCCAAGACGAAAGTCCAACACCAAGATCAAGCTGAAAACGAAGAAAGGAAGGACGAATAAGAAGGACGTCGTACCTCCGATGAAATTGGAAGAACCGCTGGAGTGCCAGCGGTGTCCGCAGATTTTCGATAACAACATAGAATTTGCCCTGCATTCTAAAGATCACGCCGACCATGGGAAGTACAGCTGTCATATGTGCCAGTATACCAACAAGAACAAGTATCGAATGGAAGCCCACGTTAGAGCTCATGAAGGGTCCACCAAGTACAGGTTGGTGAAGCGACGTTTATCAATATTAACTCAATTTTAAATCCTTAAAATGCATGGCCAAACTCATGCTAAAGACATGAACTGAACACTCACTTCTAATCTCAACCAGACCAAATATAGGCAAAGCTACATATGAAAATTGCGCCCAAAGGTATTGAAATCGGAATCTATCCAATTTTTGGTAAGCTTTCTCAAATCACCTTGTCAAATTTTCAGATCGATACGTCTGAGTACCAAATTCTTAGCAGTGAAGACTCTTATATGCTGCTGAAAAGCCGCAGTTGCCAGATTTCAAAAATGAATATATCTATCCATTTAAAAAAAACTATATGATCTAAAACTAGTACGAACTAAGAAACGGATACTCAGAAGGGCTATGAATATGGCACAATGTAAAATTTCTACACTAACTGACGACAGTCAAGAAATTCGTAAAACATCAGTTTGGTAGTATTGAACATGGAATTGCCGACTATAATCACAACATGACAACCCTGTCAGGATTCGGGCCGATGATGATCGCGATTGGTGTACAGTATATTCAGATAAGAGATAGACCGGATGTAAACAAAAGGTTCGGGTGATTTTCACGTGAACGCCGCCGTCTCGACGTAAAACAGGAGCCCTCATTGGTCAATTCGCAATTAAATGCCTATGCCGAGCGGCAGAGCAGTCGTATCAAGGCAGAGTCACATTCAGGTTCAGACGTGTTACGTATGTCGTGTGCATCATTGCAATTTGATATTTCTTTGGACGTTTTCGTTTGTTATCTTATTAAGTTGTTGAGTTTGTCGTTGTTATTGTTATACCTTGTTATTGATTGTTATTGTTATCAACTGCTTGCGCAAAATGCCCAGTAGTACAGATACTGCCGATGAAGTTGTAAACTCCTGTAGTCCACCTAGGAAACGCTCTAAAAAAAGACAATTGAGTGCAGAAATGAAAGAGGTCATTTTGAATATATATAAGATCGAGCGCGAGGAGAACGAGGCATCAACCATCAAAGAAATTGTTGTGAAGGTTTCTCACAAAGTTGGGGTGTGTCGCGCATCAGTGTTTAATGTGTATTGAGACAATACAAAAAAAATCACACCTTTTCTGAGCCAATGACCAGTAAACATCGCAAAAGTATTGTTAAATCATTGGATGAAGCTGATAAGCATGCGATTAGGAGGAAAGTGCATGAATTCTTCTTTAGGAATGAAATACCTACTATAGATAAAGTACTGCAGGAGGTAAATGGAGATACAACGTTGCCAAATTTGAAACGATCAACTTTCCATGCGTTACTGAAGCATTTAAATTTCAAATGGAAAAAACGGGGTCGTAATAGTTTACTACTGGATAGAGAAGAAATTGTGCTATGGAGGAGGGATTATTTAACAAAAATTGGGAAATATAGAAATCAAAACAGGAAGATTTATTACCTTGATGAAACGTGGGTAAACGCAGGACACACTACAAGTAAAGTATGGGTTGATGATTCTGTAACTTCATCCAGGAGGGCCTTTCTAGATGGACTGTCCACCGGATTAAAAAATCCAGCAGGTAAATACGAGTAATAGACAACAATCGGATGTTTTTCAAACCTTGGGAACAAGGTTCTAAACATTAATTCCAGGGGTCAGATAAAACATATTACAAGTAACAAAACTTTTATATTTTTCGATAAAATGCGTGGATGTTTTATTGTCATTTTCATTTGTTAGAACTTTTTTAAGCCATGTTTTTATGTGTTTTCGATATTTCAATAATTTTTTAATATAATCTTAAAATATGTCGAATATTATAAACTTAAAAAAGTTACTAAGTTTTATATTGTGTACCGTTCCTAATATTTCTAATCATTTTAATTCATACTTTAAGCTTTATAAAGTTATAATTTGTTAATATTAATATTTGCGCGTATTTCAGGTTCCTGATCATTCATTTTTTAAAGGTTTATAACTAAAATTAAATTGTGAAGCGCTGAGTAATCATACGACGTTCAATATTCTTTCTTTCAATATGACTAAATAATCCCAATTATAGCAATCTGATACTCATGTCTCAATGTTTTTTCGCTGAATGTGATGAAAACATTTGAAAAAGGTTCGCTTATTGAAATAAATCTACAGTTAGTACTTCGATTTCCAGGTAAAGGGAAAAGGCTCATTATCTGCCATATTGGCAGTGAGGATGGATTTGTTGTTGACGATCTGTGGTGCTTTGAGTCTAAGAAAACTGGAGATTACCACGAGGAAATGAATGGCGAATCGTTTGAACACTGGTTTTCAAAAATTTTACCGAACTTAGAGGAAAACGCAGTAATTGTGTTGGATAATGCGCCTTATCATTCTCGAAGAATGGAGAAGGTCCCAACAACGGCTTCAAGGAAAGTTGACGTTCAAAATTGGCTCCGCTCGAAAAATATCAACTTTGAAGAAGCAATGCTGAAAGTACAATTATTAAGAATTGTCAAGGATCACAAGGCGGAATATCAAAAATACGCCATTGACGAAATGGCAGCAAGTCAAAATAAAACTGTGCTCCGTTTACCTCCATACCATTGCGAGCTCAATCCCATTGAGCTCATATGGGCAGAGGTTAAAAATTATATAGCTAAGCACAATACAACTTTTAAATTTTGTGACCTCAAAGGACTTTTCAAAGAAGCACTAGAATTAATAACAGCGCAAAAATGGGAAAACTGTATTAAGCACGTGAAAGACAAAGTTGAAAAGAGAATGTGGGAACTGGACAATATTTTAGAGGAACAAGTCGAGCCATTCATTATTGACGTTGGTGCTTCAGGCAGTAGCGATGATGAAAGCTCATCAAGCTCATCTTTCCAATAAAAGATGTCGTTCATCAAATTCGGTAAGTTATAAGTAATTATAAAGCTACTGTATTTTTTAATTAATTATTGACATTTTTGAACCCATTTTGGCAAAACCTATTCAAGAATCTACTTTCTGACAATGTTCAACCATGCACATTTTTTTACGTTTTGAACGTTTTAATTTGGTTACATATTTACCTAGAAATCAAAAAATATACTAATCAATATTCTAAAAGCAATTTTAAAAGATATACCATTATTTTTAATTTAGGCTAATTTAAACGCCATTTTGAGATTATATTCGACTGTATTTCACCAAACATCAGGCGGCATCCGAAGCTGGAAATCGAAGCGAAAATTTTGAGACCCTTATGTATATTTACATCATTATATATTTCTTACCCCACCCCCACATGATCCTATATCCATCACCAATCGTATACACATCGAATTGTGCTAATTTACTACAAAGTTACGTAAAGCAGCATCTACTATCTAAAATATGTACTGCGTGACTCTTAATACGTCCCTGCCGAATGTTACAGCGTTCGATGATCACGTGGTCTTGTTTATGTCCGGTCTATCTCTTATCTGAATATACTGTATGTATGTATCGAAGAAAGATACTAAACCAAAACAAAGAGCATCGCGTGATTATTGCGTAAATCAGTACACTGATATATTTCAAGAGACTGTTATTGGGCAGAATAGGTCGAGCCCTTACACAAAACCAATGACAAACCGGAGGGTGGAGTGGGAGACGATACGACCGTGCATGTCCCGGTGGCTGGCCGTACAGTACAGAGTCGGCATCAGATTTATACTGGTATTACTGTGTGCTTATTAGATTTGCCAGTTTAATTTCGTAGAACTCAAAATGTCTGATACGGATACAGCTGATGAAGTTGTTGATATAAGCTGCACACCGCCTAAAAAAAAGCTAAAAGGCATCATTTTATCAACATTTATAAATACGAAATGCAAGGAAGGAGTGACTCAAGTGTCAATACTTGTAAGACGAGGAATTTCAACTAAAATTATATTTAATTACATGCTTAAACTATATCGAGATAAGAAATCAAGCAATCGTTTTGTTGGGTTTTTAATGCTTTCAGTAGGAGCGGTTTTAAAGTGTCCAAAATGAATTATTTTTAGGAAAATCTAAGCGATGGATAATTTGCCACATCGCTAATGAAGATGGGTTTGTGACCGATGCTTTATGGGCATTTGAATCCAAATACTCTACCGAAGCTTTAAGATAATTCTAATTCTAATAGTATCTAGTATTAGATGCTTCATTCCACAAGAGAAAATTCTAACAACCTCAACAAAAAACTCAGAAGTCAGAAGGTTGACTTAAAAATAAAAAGATTGATTATGATGATAGAACGGAACCTGAACATAATTGATGAAATGACCAAAAAACAAAATAAAACTGTTTTTTTTTTTCGACTGCCTCCTTACCATTGTGAGCTCAATCCAATTGAGCTCATTTGGGCAGACATAAAATAATATGTTGCAGCAGAAAATAACTGTTTTAAATTTTCTGACCTTAAAAATATTTTTCATGATGCCATACAAAGAATAACACCGAATAAGTGGGAAAATGTATCAGCATGTAAAAGAAAAGGTCGAACCTAAAATGTGGGAATTAGACAGTATCATTGATACTCACGTTGCCCCTTCAATCATAAAGCTTGATGACAGTGGGAGTTCCTCAGATCTAGAATGATTTTCATTTTCAAATACATACATATACGTACATACATTCACGTATATGTATTTCCGGTTTTAGAGGTAAAATGTCTGTGCAGTAAATTTTTGTATAATATGTAGTATATATTATTATGTATTCAAATTATTTTTCTTTCAACTCCACCTAACTATGCATATTTTAGTCTAATATTAAAATTAACCGTTTGCACAACGACATCTCTGTTCAAGCGGTGGTTAGGTATACTTGTATGCATATGCAATTATCGTTTTAATGTGTCAAGACATTTTTTAAAATCCTGCTTTATAAATGCGCCTTACGACACATTTCGAGTATAATTTCTTGATAGAACACTTGACAGTTAAATTAAAAATATACATTAATTCCAAGCTTTACGTTTGGACGCTATACATGCCTGCAATAATTTTGCATACTCTTTGATCGTATCGAAGAACCACAAATCAC